TCTCATTGCAGACACTGCTATGGTGGCTTTTCCCATCTCTTTCTTATCCCCTTGGGAAGGCTCAGGGACAGCATGATACAAACTGGATAGGATCCCTCTCCTGCAGCACTCCCGGACTTATGCATTAAGCTACATTATAAAATTTGAAGACTCTCCTCCAACCCCCCGAACATATTCCTGTAGTTAAAATCTCCTAAATATGTCTCTGTTCATTCTCTTTTGTCCAGTCTCCCTGCTGGTATTGCCATGTCTTGTGGCATGACTATACCCATATTGATTTATAATTGGTATAGAAAAAACTACACATAATTAATGTATACAAGTTGGTGAGTTTAGAATTATGTATATGCTTGTGTTACTGTCACCACAATCAAGGTGATAAACATATCCATCACCTCAAAATATTTCTTTATGTCCCCCACTGATTTTGGGATGTAAGAACCCTTAACATGAAATCTACTTTTTTTTTTTTTGAGACAGTCTCACTTTGTCACCCTCAGTAGTGTGCTGTGGCACCACAGCTCAGAGCAACCTCAAACTCTTAGGCTTAAGTGATTCTCTTGCCTCAGTCTCCCAAGTAGCTGGGATTACAGGTGCCTGCCACAATGCCAGGCTATTTTTAGAGATGAGGTCTCTCTCTCTGGCTCAGGCTGGTCTTGAACTTGTGAGCCCAGGCAACCCACCTGCTTCATCCTCTCAGAACTCTACCTTAACAAATGTTTGAGTACACAATGCCTTATTGTTAACTATAGGCACTATGTTGTACAACAAATCTTTGGAATTTACTCATCTTGTGTAACTATAACTTTTTTTTAAACCCCATTGAAGAACTCCACATTTTCCTCCTTGGTAGTCACCATTCCCTTGTCTACTTCTGGGCTTTTGGCCATTTCAGATGCCACTTGTGAGCGGGATCATGCCGTATTTGCCCTTCTGTGACCAAGCCATTTCACTTAGCATATCTTTTAGGTCCATCTATGTTGTCCTACAATGGTAGAATTCTTTCTTTTTAGGGATGAATAATACTTCATTTCATATATATACCATACTTTCTCCATTCATATGTTGATGAGCATTTGGATTGTTTCTCTTGGTTATTGTGAATAATTTGTTATCCCCATCACTTTTCGGTGAGTGGAGACCATGTCATCTTTGATATCTAGCATTTATCATAGTCGTACTATAATATGTTTTCTGGATTAATCCTTAGAAGAAGGCTTTAAAAACCTTGTCATTAGCAAATGTCCCACCCAGATAAAGCACTATCTTTGTACTCTTATCTTTTAAGAAAAATTAGCTTTGATGGGGTATAATTTAAAAAAATATAAATTCACACAAATTTATACATATAATTCATTAGTTTTTAGTAAATTTAGAGTTGTGCCATGATATAATTTTAGTAAATTTAGAGTAGTGCCATGATATAATTTTAGAACATTTTCACCCCCCAAAGAAATATATATATATATTTCTTGCAGTTTTTGGCAGGGCCAGGTTTGAACCCTCCACCTCTGGTATATGGGGCTAGTGCCCTAGTCCTTGAGCCACAGGTGCCGCCCCCCAAAGAAATCTTATGCCCTTTTGTAGTCACCCTCCATTTCCACTCCCTGTATCGCATAACCACTCATTTGTTTTTTGTTTCTATAACTTTGGCTTTTCCAGAAATTTCATACAAATAGAATCATACGTGTGGTCCTTTGTGCCTGGCTTCTTTTACTTGGCACAGTGTTTCTGAGGTTTAATTATATTGTAGCATATGTCAGTACTTTATTCCTTTTTATGGATGAATCATATTCCTTTTATGGATATATCATATTTTATTTATCCATTAACCAGTTCATGGGCATTTTTGGCTATTGTGAATAATATTGTCATGAACATTTTGTATAAGTTTTTGCATGGATATGTTTTAATTTTTCCTTGGTCTATATCTAGGAGTAGAATTACTAGGTCTTAGTCAACGCTATTTAAAAACTTTTCCAAAGCAGGGACAATTTCACATCGCCACCAGTAGTGTACAAGAGTTCCAATTTCTCCATGTATCTGCCAATATTTGTTACTGTCTTTTTTATATAGCCATCCTATAGTGGGTATGAAGTGTTATCTCATTATGACCTCAATTTTGATTTCCCTAATGACTGATTGAACATATTTTCATATGCTTATTGGACATTTGCACATTTTTTTCTGGTGAAATGTCTATTCAAATAGAATATTTGCCTGTTTTAAAATCGGGCTATCTTCTTGTTATTGAGTTGTAAGCAGTCTTTGTATACTTTGGATATAATCCTTTAAGTGAGATATGATTTGCAAATATTTTCTCTCAGTCTGTGTCTTGCTTTTTTGCTTTTTTGAAGTGTGAAAGTTTTAAATGGTAATTAAGTCCAATTTATTTTTTTCCCTCATGCTTCTTGTCTCCTGTCTAAGAAGTCACTGCCCAAACCCAAAGTCACAAAGATTTGCCTCAAAAGTTTCTTCTAAGAGATTTATAGTATGGAAGTTTGAGACACATTGTGTTATGGTCCATTATTTTGCTTCCAAGAAACGCAGTTGACAGCATCCTTTCTGATCACCTGTGCAAGTTTCAACTTGCTTGGCTTATTGGTGTTGCTGGGAGGGTATCATTTGCTTCTGTCTATGTGGATTTTATGGTTTTTTTTTTGGCTGGGGCTGGGTTTGAACCCGCCACTTCTGGCATGTGGGGCCGGTGCCCTACTCCTTTGAGCCATATGTGCTGCCCTGGATTTTATGTTTCTTGATTTTTGTATATCTCAAAACTTTTGTGATGACCTATGTATCTATTACTTAGGTCTATCACCTATTTTGAATCCATTTTGTGGAGTGTGAGATAAGAGTCCAGATTTATCCTTTTGCAGATGGATATCCAATTGTTCCAGCATCACTTGTTGAAAAGACTATCCTTTATTGAATTGTCTTGGCACCTTTGTTGAAAATCAATTGGCCATAAATATAGGCCAGAATTTCTAGATTCTCAATTCTGTTCTACTGATTTGTATTTCTATTTTCACGCTGGTACCCCAATGTCTTGATTTTTATAGCTTTGTACTAAGTTTTGAAGTTGGAAAACGTAACTCTTTTGACTTCAAAGATTGTTTTTGCTATTTGAGATTCTTCACATTTTCATATGAATTTTATGATCAGCTTGTTCATTTCTGCCACATGCCAGCTGAGATTTTGATAGGAATTGCATTACATCTATAGATCAGTCTTGGAATATTTAAAATGTTAAAATGTTTTGTCCCTCAACCCGTTAGAATAGATGTCTTCCCATTTATTTAGATAATCTTTAATTTTTTTTCTGTAATGCTCTGGCAGTTTCAGCACAAAAGCTTGTAATTTTTCAGTTAAATTTATTCCTAACTACTTTTTTGGAAGCTATTGTGAATAAAATTTTAAAAATATTTATTGCTCATGTATAGAAATGTACAACTTTGCTGAACTCATTTGTTACTTCTTGTTTTTTGGGGCGGGATGCTCCTTAGGATTTTGTACATATAAGATTATGTTGTCTGTGAGTAAAGGCAGGTTTACTTCTTTCACTCTAATATGGGTGCTTTTTCTTTCTTATCCTTATCTAAATTCCCTGCTAGACTTCTAGCACAATGTTGAATTGACGCAGTAAGAACAGATGCAGCCTTGTCTTATTCCTTTCTGTTCTTTTTAAACCTCAGTTATTCCACAGAAGTAGAGATTGAGATGACCAGAAAGGCCAAGGGTTCCAGGAATGGGAGAAGAAACATTAAAAGAAGGCACAAAAAATTCAGAGTATGCAGAGAGTACCAGAGAATATTTCTGTCTACACCACTTCACTAAGCAATCTTGGCCCCTCTGGAATGTCTGGGGCAGAACAAAGTAGCCTCCCAGATTCTAGGCCCTCCCTTCTTGGTCCACCCTGGGGACTAGTCCTGATTTATTTTTACTGTTGTTTCGCTGCCCTCATCCCAAACATGTTTTAAGGTTTCACTTTGCCTTTCATGGCAGATCACTTGATACCCCTCCATTTCTCTTATTCACCGATGAAAACCATCCATTCCCTTTTTGCTTATTTCCAGTGCAAATGTCCTCTCTTTCATTACTTGAGCCCACATGGTCCAAATTGGATCTAGCTTTAGCAATAAGATCCCTATGGGGCCAGAATTGATATTTGCTGAAATTTAATTCCTGAAAGATGTTTTCTTTTTCACAAGTACACCTGAATCAACAGGCCTCTGCTGGTTAATCAGTGTCCAGATAATCAGGGTTCAAATCTTGGTCTACCACTTATAAACTGTGCACCTCAGTTTTTCTCATGTGTAAAATGAGGATAGTAATAGTGCTCACACTGCAGGGCTGTTGTGAGGATTAAATTTGCTAATTCATGTGAAGTGCTTAAAATAGTGCCTGGCATATAGTAAGAGCTATCTAAATTTCCCTGTTATTATTATTTGGGAAAACATCTGTCTATTTTCTATATATAAATAAATATAAAAATGTATATTTATATATAAGTATTCTCAAAATGTACTTATTATATGTCATTATCACAATTTTATCTTCACAAAGTTAACACTACAAGTCATCATCAGCATCACTAAACACTCTTATTGGCCAGGTGAGTATAAACCAACAGGTCTGTGGTACTCATCTGGATGCCCTGGGCACATGGACATACTGACCAGTAATGTAAATTAGTGCATCCCAGGGAATCTTTCCTTCTTGACAGTAGAGATTGAGGTTTAGTAAAGCACATTCCCTGTCACTGTCATTAAATTCATAGCAGATATTCCAACCAAGGGGACCAAACTTCTTTCTCTCCTGGAATGAGAAATGAAAATAGTCTGAAGTAAAATTTGATAAAATTTATTTCATGTAAAATATTGAAAACTAAAAGAGTTTCCATTGAAAGTGGGCATTTCCACACTGGAAAAAAAATCTGTTAAAGTCATGTAGTTCAACTTGAGCTAAGCTTTCAACTAGCAGAGGAAGCACCTTTTCTTCCAATGTTGGCCCCTCTCCATATTTCTAAAAGAAAAATTGCTATTACTAGAAATTTGATAGACCTGCCAAAAGAACATTTGTTCTTCAGGGTAAAATAAAATATTTTCCCATCAAAGCAGAACCCTCCACCCCCCACCAAATCTCACAAAGAGTCTTTTGGCATAAAAATGCTGATACTATAATCATCTATCAGGTGGAGAGGGCTACCCTCTTCTATTATCTTAAGGAGTCTGTCCAGGGTTTCTCAGTCATAACATGCTTTGCAGATTACATACTGATTTCTCCATTGTGCCTTATATATATTTTGTTTTCAAAATATTTAATAAAAATTTACTTTATATATATGTGTGTATATATATAGAGAGAGAGAGAGAGAAAGAGAGAGAGAAAGAACCATGTGATCAATGACTAAGGGAAAAGAAAAATGATAAAAACAGATCTACATATGGTGATTTGGAAACAGTCATTACTTGTTATTTGTGGTAGTCATATTGTTCAGAGTTACTGTAAACCCTGAATTAATGAATAATGAACCATTGCTCCAAAGGGAAATATAAAGTCAGGTTCATGCAAACTTCTGGTCACAACATTTTTGTCAGCTACCTTCCATTGGTATTACACAGATTTGTTTAACAACATCCTTATAAGACCAGCCAGTTTCATCTGCTTTTTTTTTCTTAATTGGATTTTTTTCTAATAAGTATTCCAGTAAATAGTAATGTTAGCAAAAAAATGAAAAGCAAAAGAAAAGGGTTATGTCTATTTGTGCTTAAATTTTGATATTCGGGACATATTAGAACATAGCAAAAGTTTTACATTAAATCAAGGCCAAACTATAATTATAATCTTGTTTCAAATCCTTTTTGGAGGTGACTTGTAACATCTTAATTAAACATAGTATCTATCCATAAAGATTCTACTATAAACTCCTCCCTATAAATAGCCACACATATTTTTTAAGAACTGACACACAGAATCATAATCCTTGTTTTACCATGCCTCATAGTGAGACGCCTCCACTTTGTTGTAGTCCCATCCCAACTTAATGCTAAAATGATGCTCAAATAGAAGATTGGCCTCAAGTTCCCTCCTCTTAATTTCAAAATTTCCCTTTAGGGAGCTACCTCCTCATTTCGGATGCTGATGTTAGTGGAACAAGGGCCTTAAACATGGAACTCCTTGTCCCAACCTCTTGGACCTCCTCTAGAACCTTTTCACTTATTTATCTCATATCTTCTACCTTTTTTTTTTTT